AGTAAAATAATTAGGAAGTGATAACTTGAGTATGCCTTAACTTTCTTTCAAAATATAACTAAACTAATTTTAGGATTACTTGTCTACGTTTAATTTTTAATAATCACTTTAACAACTGGCACATAAATTCCTGTCTCAGTTCCACTGAAGCCAGTTTCAGCATAACATTGAAAGTATTGTCCTAACACCTTAGTAGGGCAGGTATTGCTAATCCAGGTCAAGTGACTGCAGTCACTGAGCCATTTACTTATCAAACTAGTCAATTGAAATTTTTAAATGTGAATAACCAGCACAGGGTGAACCTAGAGATTTTGATTCAGTAAAACTGTGTGGGGACATAGGAGTCTGCATTTTGATAGGCAAAGTGCCTTCCCCATGCCAGGTGATTCATTCAGAGAATGACAGCGTCCAGCGTATTGAACATATTCTGTGCCAACTTCAGAAAACAGAGTGGATGACAAAAGGGTTTGTAATAAAACTGATCAACCAAGTGACAGAAAGTAACCTTACAGGGTGCTCTGACCATAAATTCCAACTGGGCAGGTCGTGGTGGAAAGTCATGCCCCAGGCCTAGGACTTCCTTAGTAAAAGGTTTATCTTTGCCTTAAGCAAGCCCTGTCCATTGTTTCTGTGCATCTAGGTTAACACACTTTTTTGGGTTTTTTTTTTTTCCTTGTTAGGGAGACCTCGTCATAGGTCTCTTTTTCAGGCCCCTAGGAAGTGTAATCACCTTCAAGTGCGCACATAATCTTGTTCACAATCCTGCACCTCTCTCATTTCTCCCACCTTCATGTAGTCGTCCTATGCTCCCTCCTTATTTCCAAATCCATAAAAGAGGCTGCAAACTGTCATTCTGGGAGGCATTTTTCTCAGTCTGTTGAGACCTTACTTCCAGGCTCACCCTCTGTTTGGCTCAAATAAACTCTTATAAAAAATTATCTACTGGATTGCACATTCTTACATCGACACCATGGACACAAAAGAGACGAGGAGAATACGAAGACCAAGAATTGTAATGCAACTATTGAAGCGGAGCTGTGTCTGCTACCCCCAAAATACGCCTCTTTGGGGATATTTATTCTTTCAGGCTGGTGAATTTTAAGAAACAGCAGACCTAGCAGAAACTCTGAAAAACAAGTAGACCAAGCCTTGAGGGAAGAGGAAAAATTTTCCTCCCCAACACTATGATACTGGTACATACCAGATACTTTGGGAAAACAGCAAAATCCAGCTTGGGAGAAGAGTCATAAGAGAAAACAATGTTTGACTTGAGTCTTGACAGGGCGCAAGCTAATCAAGAAAAGAAGGGGAAGAGAGGAAAAGACGTTCAGGGTAGACAGAGCGGCATGTACATGGTCAAGTAGGCACCTACTTTGGGACTGTGCAGCCATATTTCTCTGGCACGGGTTTTAGCATATAGAAGGTACCTATCTGTTAGACTATGTTCAGTCACAGAACACATGTGGAAGGTTAGGCAAAAGACTAATGGTCAGTCAGGTCAGGAGGGACTTTTTAGAATGCCTGGCACAAAGTAGATGCTCAGTAAATTTCCACTTTGCATTCTTTCCTAGACATTAGTGTTTAAAATTAGTTTTATCACCATTATAGGATTATTGCTGTGAAAGGATTCACATATGATAGCTAACCTATAATGTCTAGAAATACAGAATTCTCTCACTGCATTTATAATTGCTAATTTCTCAGAGAAAAGTGACCAAAACTATCAAATTGATGTGTTAGAAATAGTGAAACAAACCAAGGTTGTGGGGAAAACAGGATATTACTCCATATTATTTTTCTCATCAGTTTTACCTCCTTCTAATTAATCTGTTTTCAGAATAAAATGGGAATGCTACAGATGTTATTTTCTGTTTCTAAGGTTGTATCATTTCAGCTATAGACATTTTAAGCAAGTAACCCAAATTAACTTAAAAATCTATTAATTAACATAATAAAGAAAAATTAATGCAAGAGCTAAATAATGGGTAGGAGGGATGTCAAAAAGTAGGAGTTTATCTGTACATAAATCCAGCAAGAAAGGTATGCTTATCATCCTAACACACCAAGTTTGTAGCCACTACAAAACCTCTATGTAAATTGTCACTTCTCTAATGCAATCCACCCATCTGTCTTGTCTCGCCTCAAGACCCATCTCTTCATAGCAAACACGCCATTCCACAATGATCTGTTCCCTCCCTGTGCATGAACCTCATCTTTGAATTCAGTCCTACATTATCTTGTATTATGTCGTTTTTATCTCCCAACCAGACTTTACATTTTCAGGGAGCTTCTCTTGCATTTCTCATGGAGCATGGCACAACGCTAGATATGTATGAGACACTCCAACACTTGGTGAGTGAAGAAACTAAATGATTTCCAGGAATTGTTGCTTTTCTCTCCTCCCCCAAAATGAAGACGAAAATGTCAAAAAGCTTTTAAAAAGTCAGTGAAAGGAGGTTATCAAAAGGGATTCTATCCCCGAGTTGTTTTTGAGGTGTCAACAAATCATCGGAGGGCTCTGATTAGAAAGGCAGGGGATTTTTTGGCTCTGCTTGCCCGTTGTAAGGCTGAGGGGCCTACAATTGGTGCTGCTAAGTGAAAGGCCCACAAACATCCTAGGATATATGCTTTTCATGCACATCAAAGAAGAAGAGGAAGAGGAAGAGGGAACAGGTGTCTCAAAGCTGCTCTAACCTTGTCTTCTTTAACCAGTTTATTGAAGTTCAAAAGAGAAGGACTATTTACAGAATTCCAAAACTGAATCATATGTAATACATTTATTCAGTAAATACTATTTCCAATTATCATAATAATAGCTAACATTTTGAACACTTTCTTCTGTGTCATATGTTGTATAAGCACTTTTCAGACATCATCTTATTAAACTTTGACAACACTCTTTATATAAATACCATAACTTCCCACATTTTAGAAATGAGGAAGCTTAAATTAGGTAAGAACTTGCTCCAAGGTAACAACACGAGTAAGTCACAAAGCCAGAATCTGTTACCAGGTCTCTTAGGCCAAAGCCCAAAGAACACCACTATCTAGGATTACAAGATTCAATTCTCAACCATATAAGTACAATAAGTACTTGGGCTCCCTTTCGGGACTTTTTTTTTTTTCTTTCTATTTGAAAAATTAAAAACGAGATGCCAAATCAATGGTATAAAAAAAAAAATGTAGAACAAGGCTATCTCCAGGGTCTGAAGTAGTAAGATGAAACAAACTGTCTTAAAGCCAATAGACTTCAGGATTCCCAATATACTCACAGCAAACAAGTATCCAAACAAACAAACAAACAAACAAACAAACAAACAAACAAACAAAAACCACATTTAAAGGGTTAAATGTAGACCCTATTGGCAGAAAGACCAGCTAAGGTACCATTTACCTAAAGGTATAATCACCCTAAAGAGCTTATGAAAAGTTCAGATTTAATTTACAACATATTTATATTCATTCCATGTAGAGGCCACATGCCATTCAAACTTTGTAAGATGTTCAGCAGAGGATAAGAACTCTAGAAAATGCTGTTAATGTAGGACTTTTGGCTATGCATTCATTATCTGTACATCTTAATAACCTCCCTCTAGTACCCAAAGCTAGCTTCACGGACAAGAAAAAAAGGCCTAGAAACTAATGTTTAAAAAGAGTTTTCCACACAGCTTCACCTGTTCAATTGACAGAAAAAAAATCTCTGGCTGCACTTAAAGCAGTGGCCACAATAAAACAAGAGCTTAATGTTTGGCTATCATTATCAGCATTATTGTTCCCACAGTTTGAGGTCAGCAGTAAGAGGAATCAAGCCATCATGGGATATAGTTTCAGGGATAGCAAATGGCTATCCTCTCTCCCCTAATTAACACCTCTGCTGAGGTGGTTGGTGCTTGAATTTCCACCCCCCACCAAAAAAACAAAAATTATTCCTTTGGCTTTAGATTTTTTTTTCTTGAGAAAACCCAAAATCAAGTACCACTGATTGACAGCATTTTAAGCTTCAGGGCTTATTTACATAGAAGATTCTCCATATTTAGCAGATTTCTTTAAGGCAAGCTTTATTAAGGAAAGGGAAGAGGAGGATTTGAAGGCATTAAAAACAATCTTGGGGCAAAAGTAGACACCAGAGCAGAGTTTTCCAATGAGAAAGATCCAAGTATGCAAACAATGGAGTGGGCTCTGGAGTCAATATTATAATTAGCCAAGTCTCCTGCTCCTTCTGTTGCCATTATCAATTTAGGGTAGCCTGTCCATCTCCTCAAAATCTTCTGCGATATAGTAATTATGCTGCTTTATTTACAGGGAAAATGACCCAAAAAACGTCAGGCAAAGGAGTTTAAAATTCACAGTCCTTGGGCAGGGTGTCGGTGTTATAAGCATTCATATGTGTCTACTTGCTGGCAGAAAAATCGTGACTTCCTAGATTTTCGGTAAGACACAGATTCGTCTGCAGAGAAGGCTGGAGCCGAAATCGCTACCTAGCAGCCATGAGTCAAAAAACCTGAAGGGGTGGAGGGAAAGCAATCTGATGGCTCCAGGAAGTGGGTGGGGAGGAAGCTGCCGAGGTTGGAGCCAACTGATAGCAGGTTAGTAGGGGGTGTCCCGGGACACAGAGTGCCGCGGTCACAAGCGCTTTTGGCAACGCTGCCTGATTCGATTCCCGTCATCACCGGTACAGCTCTGGTTTGGGACGTAAAAAGGGTTTGAAAAGTGGGCGGTGGCAGGGGTTTCCGTCGCTGAGTCACAGCCCAGCCAACTTTTACAGCATTTCCCAGCAAGAAAACAAAAGTCTCAGTTCCGCAGCCTCACCACTCGCTTCTAGTTTCCTCTCACCGCTCTGTGCCACTCGACCCGGGGGTGACTCCAGACCCACAAACGGAGTGTCTCCCACTCATCGCGCAACTTCTCACCCGCGCAAAGCCTCGGAGTATCCCGAGTGCTTGCCCAGCTACCACCCCGCAGATGAGAGGACAGGAGGAAGGGAAAGGCTGCGTCCTCACCTGCAGGACACGGACACCTCCACCCGCGTGGCCGGGATGGCCGCGCTCAGCTGGTTCAAGTCCCCGAGGCCCGCAGTGCTGGTGTACCGGCTGTCCATCTTGGGTGGAGACGCCGTGGACTTGTCCCGAGCCCACATCCAGAGCTCAGGCCGACTGAGGGCTCGGAGCCCAGCTCCAGACAGACGGGGACAGGGGTTGAGGGTGGAGGCAGAGGAAGGAGGCGGAGGCAGCTCGCTGGATGGAGGAGGGCGTTGGGAGGCGGACCTCCGCGCAGAGCCGCGAGGGAACCGCGAGCCAGTCCCGCCTGAGGCTGAAGCTGCCCGGGAAGGGGTGCACGGGGCTCCCGGCTTCCCTGTGCCTTCTTTGCAGGCTACAGGTCCAGGGAGGGACACTCCGTAATCCTTTTCTTGCTCTGGGTGTCAGACTTCGCGAAGCCACCCTATAGCCTGGCGGGATAGGTGGCACCAGACCCAGACCGTCTAGGAGACCAAGCCCTGGCCCCGCTTTACGTGCGATTTGGGTTGTGTCTCCGCCTCTACACACCCACACCCGCCTCCTGGGCCAGGACTCTCCTGTCAATCATGCGTGGACTGGAATGTCACGCAGTTTCTTCGCCTGGGTTGGGACCTGGAGGTGTGGGCGCCTCTGCCCGTTCCTAACTCCCGTATCAGAAGTCCACCCCTGCCCACCTCGCGCTGGTCCTCACCTCACCCTCGGAGCCCACGGAGGTTCCTCCCCCTATGCCCTCGGGCAGGTGAACCAGGTCCCTGCTGCCGGACTGCCCACCCTCTGCCACTTGAGGGTTGGGGACGATGGGACACGAGGACGATATCCAACCTTCTGTAAGCGGAGGTAAAGTGACAGATCAATATATGGGACAACGCGGGAACAGGGTGGATTCTAAGGTGGGAAAAAACTATTTAGGATTTAAAGAAGTCACCTGGTTTCCCTCTTCACTCGGTTCTTCGGAACGTGACGGGGGAGGGGTCTAATGGTGACAATCCTCCTACAGTCGGGGCTCCTCGGCGCCCCTTCGTTTCCAAATGCCAGGACGTCCTCCCTTAAACCCTCAGGTCACAACCCTACAATGCCCCTCCCTCACCCCGACTCCTACCCGGCAACACCTGAATGACATTGGACGGGTAGAAGCCGAGGAGCGGGCTTGAGCCCCGCGTTTGGGAAACCGGATTCCGGGGCAGCCAGACCCGTGCCAAGATGCAGAAGCCGCAAAGGCCTGGGGAGGCACCCACCGCTCCCCTCCCTTGCGGCGTCTTTTATTGCCGGCACCTTTGCTCCGGCCTTGCCCATGCGCCTGCGGGTCCCGGGGCGTTCGCCACCAGGGGGCGACCGAGAACTGGACCTGGCGTTAGGGCAAACCTGGAGAGGAGAGAGGGGACGGGTGTCTGCCTTGATTTGACGCGCCAAACACGGAGTTACCCCCTTGTAGGACTAACTCAGGGAGGAACAGTTTTCATAAGTGAGGACCTGTCGTACGTGGTAACATTGAAATTCACTTAGACCCACCTGCCTACAGAATTTGTCTAGTTGCCAGTGAGAGTGTATAGGCACCGTCTTGTGGCTTCCCAAATATCCTTCCATGTTTCATTCTTGGTTTCCATTCCTGATCTCCCCGCCCATCAGTGGTCACCCCTTAAGTCCAGAGGCTCTCTTCCTCTTTCCCTATCACATGTTAAACTGTAGTTTATTCCTGTTTTAAAAGCCCTAAAACTCCAGACATTTCTTATTTTGCCCAAAATAAATTCGGGGGAAGAGAGTTACTGTGTTTTTTTAAAGCTAACTAGACTTTTATTTTATAGACGCCTACTGAATAAGTAAAAGTTGAAAACATTAAAATAGTACTCAACTCATAGAACCTTTGTTTCTTTTTTTTCTACTTTATTGAGCTGTAAATGATACATAGTAAACTGAACATATTTCAAGTGCATCACCTGATACATTTTGATGCATACACATAGTTGTGTGAAGCCATCACAACAATGAAAATAATAACTCATTCTATCACCCAAAAAGTTTTCTCATGTCTCTTTTGTAATCACTCCCTCCTTTCATCATTAAAAACAACCCTCTGGGCAATTACTGATATTCTTTGTATCACTATAGATAAGTTTGCATTTCTATAAGTATATATATATTGTATATGGAATCATACAACATGTACTGTTTTTCGTGTGGCTTCTTCCACTGAGCAAAATTCTTTTGAGATCCATCCATGTTGTTGAGTACATCAATAATTCATTTTTTTTTCATTGCTGGCTAGTGTTCCATTGCATAGATGTGTCACAAATTGTTTACTCATTCATGCATTGACTGTTTAGTTGTTTCCAAGTTTGGGTTATTACAAATAAAACTGCTATGAACATTTATGTACAAGTCTTGTACATAATGTAGATATATGCTTTCATTACCTTTGGGTAAATTTCCAGGAGTGGAATAGTTGGGTCATATGGAATGTGACTGTTTAACTTTTTAGAAAACATCTAGAGCAGCAGTTCTCAACCTTCCTAATGCCGCGACCCCTTAATACAGTTCCTCATGCTGTGGTGACCCCCCCAACCATAAAATTATTTTCATTGCTACTCTATAACTGTAATTTTGCTACTGTTAAGAATTGTCATGTAAATATCTTCTTGTTTTCCGATGGTCTTAGGCGACCCCTGTGAAAGGGTCATTCGACCCCAAAGGGGTCGCAACCCACAGGTTGAGAACCTCTGATCTAGAGTGTTTTCCAAAAAAGTTTTGCTATTTTCATCCCCACAGCATTATATAAGTTTCATGTGCTCCACATCCATACTAACACTTATTGTTGCTAGTCTTTTAAAGCTTCGCCAATCTAACAGGTGTGTAGGGTTAATGATTAATGATGTTGAGCATATTTTCATGCTTATTTGCTATCTGTATATCTTCTTTGATGAAGTGTCTATTCAAATATTTTGCTCATTTTTATTGAGTTGTTTTATTATTTTTGTTTGAGAGTTCTTTATGTATTCAGTACTCGTAAGTTTATCATATTGTAGAAAGCCTTAAATGATAAAATTTCTAAAGTGTATTCAAACTCTGTTATTATAGTCAGCACAACACATAAAGAACTACAATTTTTAAAAATAATTTTTAATAACCTAATAAATATCATGAATCATGATGTCTGTTTCTTTACACTTTTAGAGAATTTTTCATAAAACTTTATATTCATTAAAATATATTTAAATAATATAAGTAACTTTATTTTTTTATTTTATTTTTTAAGACTTTTTATTGGGGAATTGGGGGATGGGAACAGTGCTGGGGAATTGGGGGAAGGGGAACAGACAAGTTGCTGTCGTTTTGTTCTTCAGTCTAGTTGTGGAGGACCTTGCTTCACTGGCCCAGGTTGGCACCATCATTGCACTCTTCCGAGGCGAGGCAGATCAGTCGCTGGCTTCTGGACGGCTGCTCACTGTGGCTGCTGGCTGCTCACTGCGGCTGCTGGCTACACACAGTAGCCCATGGCAACCCACTGCCACAGGAGCTGCAGCCTACGCCGTCGCCAGCGACTCACGGCAGCCCAGCTCCAGGTTGAGCTGTTGTTCAGCATCTTAGCTGTGGAGGGCAGTTTCACTGGCCCTCCAATGTGGGATCCGAACCGGGGCCCTCTGGCGTCCCAAACCAGTTCTTAACCATCGCGCCACTCGGCCGGCCCAAAATAATATAAGTAACTTTAGAATGTGCTAAAAATGAAAGATAAATTTCACTTACTAAAATTTATAATCAGCCATTATTCCCCAAGTCAGTGATTCAGCAACATTACTTGAATGTTTACTATGAACTAGGCACTGTACCAGATAGAAGGTAAAGCTCCTTCTGGCAAGGAGATGTGTGACTGGGTAGAGATTATAGTGAATGAATCACTGAGTTCTTTATTATTTCGCAGATGTTATTATTCCACAAGATTAGAGAAGCTCTCAGTTTGTAAGTTAAATTGTCATTGTCCGTTATTTTTCAGAAGCATTTATTTATAAAAGAATCAGCTGGCCTAAAAGAGCATAACCTTATAATACAAGGACAAAGTCCATTGACCTCATCTGGCAAGTGCTGTATCAGCTCACGCAGAAATCTAAAACAAATGGGACTGAGCAGTTCTCCAGGCTATAACTACATCAGTGGAAATTTTGCTCTGTTGGGCCCAAGAACTATTCCACCCCAACGCAAGTCAGAAATACCAGCATTGCTATATGCTCACCTTCAAAATGTCTTCAGGAAATCCAAGGGAACAGATAGCTATGCCATTACTTAACCTCTATGGATAGCTATATAATCAATTTAACTACTTAACCTGCCCTATGAAGGTACAACTTATAAAATAAACTTCTATAATAGCAAAGTATGGACTAGCAGTTTAATTACGGGAAAGTTGCAGCTGAGGGAAGACATTTTGATGGGTGTTCAAAACATGTTCTCTGAGTACCTACCCCTCTCTGACCTGCTAACCATTTGGAGATGATTTACCCAAAGTGGATCAAATCTGAGGTAATTCAATCATTTCAGACATTAAAACAGAATACCTTTAGCTTGAAGTTGCCTTTGTGACTAAATAAGATCAATATGTCACCAATCTTATAAATACCACCTTTCCAATGGTTACTTTAGGTGGTAAGCAAAATATAACTTTTACATTTTACAAATAATTTCTGTGGGTGGTGATGAACATGGAGGGAGTGCTATGAAGGGCTCAGGCATGCTACCAGAATACAGGTAGGTGGTGGGGTGCTTCCTGCCCACCCCCAAGTGCCTCATGCCAACCCTCTACCACAAGTGCCTAACCATGTGGTCCCCAAGTCTTGCTTCTGATACTCTGTGTCTCAGCTGAAGAAGATGAAGTCTTCAGGGGAAATTGTCTACTATGGGCAGGCATTTGAGAAATCGCCCCTATGGGTGAAGAACTTGGGCATCGGGCTGTGCTCCAACACCTGCAGTGGCTCCCACAACATGTACCGGGAGTACCTGGTCCTGACGACCATGGGCACGTCATCTAATGCTATCAAGACATGAAGGCCCAGCACCTCTCCTGCACCCACTCAATCCAGATCATGAAGGTGGAGGAGATCGCAGCCAGCAAGAGGCGCCAAATGGCCATCAGGCAGCTCCATGACACTAACATCAAGCTCCCCCGACCCCACCGGGTCCTTGGTCACCAGCACAAGCAACGCTTCGCCACCAAGAAGCCCAACACCTTCTTTTATAAGCAGGGCCTTTCTGTCCCCAGGTCTGCCCAAGTATAAACTCCTTGAGAAAACAACAACAACGAATTATAACAAATAATAGCAAAAGTAACATACGTCCTGAATAAGTGCTCAGGAACATTAAATCCACTATTTTAATGAAGCAACACCTTTCTAAAGGATCTTGGATGGTTATTTCCGTAAACTTATTCTCAAATTTTTTTGTTTCTGTTTGATAATTAAATATTATACTCAAGAGACTACTTAGAATACAGGATGCTTTCCATTTCAGAATTTCATACTTAATATTTAAGCATGTAGAAGAACATATTTCAAATTATGTTTTGAAAGTCTTGGATTGGTTTGGGTAATACTTGTTTTTCCATTATCACAGTCATTTGGTTCAACCGCTGGCTGTTACATAAAGAGACGCCATAAACTTGTGGGGGTTGGGGAAGGGGTAGATCAGGAAAGTGATCAAACTGAGGTTATCTTACTATGACTGAATCTTTTTTTAATGATACTATTTCATTTCAGTTATTTATTGCTGTGTAACAAGCCATTCCAAAATTTAACCATTCAAAACAATAATGGTTTTACACTTTTTCATGATTCTTTGAGTCAGCAATTAGGGTAGGGCTTGGCCAGGCAGTTCTGCTCCACCTAGTGTCAGGTGGGGTCACACACGTGGTTGCATTCAGCTAGAGTCTGGCTGGCCTGGAAAATCCAAGAAGTCGTCATCACCACATCTGGCAGCTCAGGGCCCTCCCTCAGATGGCTTCCCTGGTTTCTCCTGGATTCAGTAGTCCAATCAGAATTTCACAGCAAGGTGACTGGCTTTCCTAGAGCCAATGTGGAAGCAGCCAGGACTCTGAAAGGTAAGGCCTGGAACTAGCACAGTGTCACTTCCACTGGTTTCTATTTGTCAAAGCAAGGTATAAGGCTAGCCCAAATTCAAAGGGGAAGAGGAGGTGTCTACGTTGACTGAAAGAGTGGAGCAGTAGGCAACATATTGGAAAGGAAGGAATTGAAAGCAGTCATCTTTGGGGACTACCCACTAAAAATAGTCAATTCAATTAAGGCTAAAATAATTATATATTCCTCATTTTTAAAACATCCCATTGATCTAATTTTTCCACTACTTATAATTTGTTCTGTTTTAGAACATAAATCTATATAAGGAACCAGAAGTCTTGTAGCATACATTGTCATGAGTAGGAGCATAGTAGTAAGCAAGGATTTGTCTTCGAGAATGACTTGCTAAATATATGCTTCACAGAGGAAGAAAAAATATAGAAAATATGAAGAGTATGTTACCTGCTTTAAAGTATCTTAGTATAGTGTGAGATCCAGCATCAACTCATGACATCAATAAAAAATATGAAAGAGCAGGAAATAAACTGTGACTTGTCATGAGATCATGTGGTATAGGCTGACATGACTGATGCTCAAGAAAAGACATTAATGAGAAAGAATAATCATTAAAACTTTCCTGGGGAAATGGCACTTGATACTTTTCAATAATAAAAGGAAAGAACAGAGCAATATAGGTAAGGAAATGTGAGCAAATGTAGAGGTAAAAATCAGCATTGTATATTTTTGTACAGTAGTGAGAAGACCAAACTCACAAAGAAGAAGCATGCAAATTCGGATATAGTGAGGTTATCTTACTAGACCTTGTAATTAGAGAGAGGATGTATAAAAGGAGAATAAGCTAAAGTTATTCAATCCTGCCGTCAAGAAAAGTAGCCACAAATCACAAGTGGCTATTTAAATTTATTTATTTATTTATTTTATTTATTATTTTTTTAAGCTGAGCCATCCTGCCACCTGTTGGCAGCTCAGAGGCTGCTCAGCTCAGGCAGGGAATCGAACCGCTGTTGCTCAGAGCTCAAACTCTTGAGCGAGCTCTTAACCAACTGAGCCACTCGGCCAGCCCTTAAATTTAAATTAATATTAAATCAAATTTAAAATGAAAGTTCCTCGGTTGCATTAGTTACGTTTCAAATGTTCAATAACCACGTATGGCTAGTGGCTACCCTATTGTATTATGCAGATTACAGAACATTTCTTTCGCACTATAGAGGTGTATTTAACAGTACTGACAATCTATTCTACTTCCTAATATTTCTGAAATCTATTGAGCGTTACTTCCCCTATGTCACTACCATTAGTTCAATTTACTACCATCTTTTACCTGGGGTAACGCAACACTCTCCTACCTTGACTTTCTGTTGCCAGTCATGCCCTTCTTTAAACTGATCCCCATTCCGCAGCTAGAATGCACTTTATAAAACACTAATCTG